AATAGTTGCCCCCTCGGCATATCATAATGTCTTACTTAAAACGATGGAATTCAAGATGGCCGCCGTATCAGAAATAAAGAGCTAATTCATTGGCATTGTATTTTTTTTTTCAGATACGAGTGACTTTTATGGTGACTCAGGAGTCTTTTATTTCCCTCCTTCCAAATCAAATGAAACTGAGTATGTCTTTATTAAGGCTGATAACATTCCAGAGGTAAGGAAATATTGGAAGGGCATTGACATTTACTAACTTTTGTTGAATATTTTTTTCAACCCATGAATATAAACTGCTAAATTRCCATCAGAAATTTCAAAATGATATGAAAAAAATATTACRATTTACACTGATTTTGCAAGTATCCGCCAATGTGGACCCATGACCTTTCGCACAGCAGGGTAGTGTCCAACCAACTGTGCCAACCGGGTGGAGTTCCTCTGTGATGAGAAACCTAATAAAGGCCTTGCTCCATCACGTGACGGTAGCCTTACTAGATGGCAGGAACAATACWATCGTTTCGAATGAGAAAGAATTCATTTCCCGAGAGCAAAGGTATTTTATCGTTCTGCCATCTAAGCACCAGCAGTCCAAGCTGTATTATGGGCGCCGGCACGTGGTGGTGCAAAGCCTCTATTGCAAGTGAATTGACGACTCTTAAAACTCCAGTGTATGCAGGCCTAGCTTCACTTCTGAGATCAGTAAACAAAAGAAGAAATTAGAATTAAAAAAGCAACTCCTGGATTCGAGGCTAAACAGAAGCTAGATAGTTGTGCTGCAAAATAGGCCTAAAAAAGGACATTAAATTATTGCGCTCGATAGATTTTCTCCATATTCGGCAGACAGGATTATGACAGTCTATTTACTAAGAATCTGAACTTTCATAAAAATTCATCGATATTTTTAGCGAGCTGCAAGATAATATTGTGAAAAACCACTGTTAGCGGAAAATCGTAAAAGCAATTCAAAAATAAAATTGCAAAGACACCGTCAAAAGCCTAATGATTGAGCTACTATATGTGCTAAATTCAGAAATATCCGATTGTTTTAAAAGCAAAACGAGCGAGTTTAAAAATTGCTAAATTCACTCGCAATTTTGTGTGAGTCACGTACCTTAATTAAATCTATGCTTGTTGTTGTTTCAGATTGACGAGCACTATACTCTTGTCCTGTATCAATATCAGTCACCAAAGTATTCACCAGGGACTTTGGGTCAGAACATAAYGATAAACATCACCATTCCCGCCAATGATGACCCGTATGGTGTCATTGAATTCGCTGCTCGGGACTCTGTCAAGCGTGTGGGTAAGTACCTGATAACCGTTCGTTAACATGTGAATCGCTATTTAGCAGTGGGTCGTCTGTTCTCGTACCCAATGCCTTCTCAGCTTTCTAACAAGAAATCGATTTTTTAGTGAGATTGTTAGTCGGTCAAATATTTAAATGCAAACAAGTTTTGAGTCAAAGTTTAAGTTCAATTTAATGTTTTGGTTTTCAAAGTCAGCACTTTTCGCTACTAGTAGGCTATAACTTATAGCCTAGTAGTAGCTCATCCAATCAGAACGCAGCATTGATGATAGACCACTAGTTGGACTGACTGATGCTCGAATATCTTACCTGTTCATCAGTGTACCATTGAAACACCTGTTTGAAATTTAAACTTAATTCCCCGCAAATTGGGATAAAAAAATAGAGTTACTTTCTGATCGTATTTTAGCTGAGGTAAAAGAAGAAAACACCACAGTCAGTTTTGAGGTGCAGCGAAATAAAGGTACCTTTGGTACTGTGGATGTCTCATGGGTTATCCTTAGTGATACAGACGCAAGCCTTGATATATATCCCACATCTGGAGTCTTGACCTTCCTGGAAAAACAAGCAGCCGGGAATATTTCAATTTATGTCTTGTCAGACAAGGTATGCTTTATAAAATACTGCTGTTTATGACGTTTTCTGGGTATTCTGTCGCGTGAACACATTCTATAAGTAGAGGACTATTTAAGGCAGAGATGCGAAACATTGCTTCTTTAGAGTCAATAGGAAGTCTGTTTGAATGGCACTAGCTACCAGCTATTTAAGGCAGAGATACGAAACTGCTTCTATAGAGTCATTAGGAAGTCTGTTTGAATGGCATTAGCTACCAGCTATTTAAGGCAGAGATACGAAACTGCTTCTATAGAGTCAATAGGAAGTCTGTTTGAATGGCATTAGCTACCAGCTGATCCGAGAAATTGAAATGTTAGCCAATCAAAATCAAGAAAATGTGTAAAACTGAGGTGTGATTTTTCCTCATAGAATTATAAATTTCCAGGCCCCAAATCCTTTCCTCGATAAGTTTTGATAAAAGTGACGCAATAATTAATGACCCCTCGTTATTGCAGTGACGTCATTGCTACGTCACTATTTCAGATCAGCTGATCTAAAAAATCTAATGAATTACCTATGAATTTCCAATTTTTCGTTGTCTAGATTCCCGAAAAGGACGAAACATTTACCATTCTCCTTCAAAGCAAAACCGGTCAAGCTTCCTTTGGCGACCGAACTAACGTCACACTAATCATCAAGAAAAATGACGACCCGATCTTCTTTGAGACCACAAACATCAAGGTCAGCGAAGGACAGATTGCAAACCTCATCATTCGTCGTGGTGGAGACGGACTTAGTTCAGTAACGGTAACATATAGCACCTTCGATGGGACGGCTCGAGCTTCTGATGGTGATTTCCTTGCAATTTCTTTCGAGCGGGTAACATTTGGTGTAGGAGAATTTAATAAATCCATATCGGTCGTCACTCGTGATGACGAGAAAGCTGAAGGAGTGGAAAACCTTACTGTGAAACTCTTGAATTCAACTGGAGATACAGTTCTGCAGAATGCCGTTGCAACGATCTCGATCTATGCAAGTGATGCTGGTACTGGGTTGTTCGAGTTTGATAAGAATGCACCTTTGAATAAGACGATTAAGGAGGATGGCTCTCAGGCTAGCTTCAAGTAAGTTGAATGCAGATGAAAATAGGAATGTAAAAGGGTTTACCCTGAAATAACCGAAAATAATTGCCTCCGGTTCATCAAGGGGGCGGGCGATCCTCCAATCACGTGATCGTTTTTTTCTTTTTGGGACATCATTTGGGCTCGGATTTTAAGATATTTCTCACTTCTAGAGAGTGTGTGAGCGCACGCGCGAGTGTGATTGGGGGAGCGGAGGTTGAAATCAGGATTTCCCCGCCTCTTTTCCTAAAGATCAACGTTCTCTAGCATGCTATCCCAGTACTAATGTACTCCATGTTCTTTCTTTAGAATAACAAGAACAATAGCCAGCCATGGTGTAGTCCATGTTTATTGGCAAGTGTTTAGTTTGCTTGACAATGGTAGCCTAGCAGCCATCCCTTCAGGCGTTGACTTTAAACCTGCAGTCAATTACGTCATGTTTGCTGATGGAGACTCTGAACGAAATCTCGTCATAACACCATTTAATGACGTCACCGCCGAAATGAATGAAAAGTTTGTTATCAAGATTATCAATGCGACTGGTGAGTATATGTTAAGAATAAATGCAGGTTTTTAAACACTTGTTTTGAAATCGGGACTTTTCTTGGTAATAAGTACGCAGATATGTAATGTATGCCTCTTGAGCTTGGAAGTAATGTTTTCCCATTTTAGACCACGTGTATTTTTTTGTAGTTGAAATTCCGAGTTGTATTCATGAAATGTTCATGTATCTTCTCGTGAGCTATTGTTAAAAAAAGAAATGAAACTAGGAAAAGACATGCCCTCTGAAATGGGAGAACATTGCGACCAAACTAAAAAGGTTCATGAAATGATAGATCCAGTAGCAAGAAAGAAAGAAAGAAAGAAAGAAAGAAAGAAAGAAAGAAAGAAAG